ATGGTTACCCAGCCAGTTAGGCACCCACCTTATAGTAGACACACCGCCCCGGAGCGCCCGACGCTGCCCATCTGTACAGCACGGATGCGTCTACGTCACGCCCACAATTTGCTCCCTCCTGGGAGAGGGAGGCCCGAAAACCAGCCCCAGGCTCGGCGAAACGCACCGACCTCGTCCGATTCAGCCTGACCCGGCGCAGGGCGGGCCTACAGGACGCGATCAATAAAGACGGAGAGGGAAGGGGACGCCGTGAATGCCGCTCGACTCGGGCTAATGGGGCCTGGTGCATGAACAAGGCGGCTGCCGTGGGGGGCACGACCTGCTGGGGGGAGACCGGTAAGCGATTGCTGGAATGCACTGAGACTCCGGCCCGGCGCTTGCAAGAGAGCGCGCGCCAGAAATCGGCGTGATCGCAAGTGGGTCGGTTTCGCGCACTCACACACTGGTGTTTTGTGGAATTGACGCGTGGCCGCAAATACGCCTCGCTCGACGCCACTCGGGACAAAATCGCCCCCGTCCCCCCTCAATCTTAACGGCCCAGATTGCTGGATCTGTATTTTGGGGGACAGATCACCATTGTATGCACAGTTAGAAAGCTAGAGTACGGCAGGGGTTCCCGGCCTTTTGGAGCATACGGACCCCTTTTCAATCGATTAAAAATTCATGGACTGCCCCTCTTTGGGGGAGGAAAAGAAGAGAGAGGGGAAAAGGAGGGGGGGGGGAAAGGGAGGAGAAAAGAAAGAAAAAAGAGGGGAAAAGGAAAAGAGAGAGAAGAAAAGAGAGAAACAATAGAAAAGAAGAGAGAAAAGAAAAAAGAGAGAAAAAAGAGGGAGAGAGAAAAGAGGGGGAAAGAGAGAGAAACAATAGGAAAGAAGAGGGAAAAGGAGAGAGAAACATTAGAAAAGGAGGAGAGAAAAGCATAGAGAGAGAAGAGAGAGAAAAAAATAGAAAAGAGAAAAAGAGAGAAACAATAGGAAAGAAGAGAGAAAAAAGAGAGAGAAATGAGGGAAAAGGAGAGAGAAACAATAGAAAAGAAAGAAGAGAGAAAAGAGGGAAAAAAGAGAGAAACAATAGAAAAGAAGAGAGAAAAAAGAAGAGAAAAGAAAGAGAAAAGAGGGGAAAAGAGAGAGAAACAAAAGAAAAGGAGAGAAAAGAAAAAAGGGAGAGAAAAGAGATAGAGAAGAGAAAGAAAGAGAGGGAAAAGGAGAGGGAGAGAGAGAGAGAGAGAGAGAGAGATTGACATGTTAGATGAATCAAAATGATTTTAGAACTAACATCTATTGAAGTTTTAAATAGTTTCCCCTACAACTCCTTACAAGCTTCAAACATGCTTTTGGAAATGGGGTTGGATACCATTTTATCTTGTTTACATTACCACTTAAACCATTTTCAATACTGAAATAGAAAAGAGAAAAAAGAGAGAGAAACAATAGGAAAGGAGAGAAAAAAGAGAGAGAGAAACAATAGAAAAGAAAAGAGAGGGGAAAAAAGGGAAAAAAAGAGAAACAATAGAAAAGAAGAGAGAAAAAAGAGAAGAGAAAAGAAAGAGAAAAGAAGGGAAAAGAGAGAGAGAAACAACAGAAAAGGAGAGAAAAGAAAAAAGGGAGAGAAAAGAGATAGAGAAGAGAAAGAAAGAGAGGGAAAAGGAGAGGGAGAGAGAGAGAGAGAGAGACACAGTGGTGGAAGAAAAGAGAGGGAAAAAGAGAAAACAGAAAAGAGAGGGGAAAAGAAAAGAGAGAGGGGAGAGAGAGAGAGAGAGAGAGAGAGAGAGGGAACCAAGAAAAGAGAGAGAGAAAAGAAAGAAAAGAGGAAACGAAAGGATCTGACGCGTCGTGGTGGGCCCGAGCCTTGTTTTTAAACTTCCCACGGACCCCCTGCAGTACCGTGGCGGACCACCGGGGGACAAAGGCCCTACTGGGACCCACTGGGCTAGGGGGTAATCTGTGGGGTTTAAATGTCCAAAGGAAGCCACCCAGGAGATTTCCCTCAGCGTCGGGGGGCTCCCCCAAACAGCCGGTTCTGCCCGTGGTTGGCCTTCGGACTCCGTGTGACCCCCAACATGAAGGAGCCAGCTAGGGAACGTCCCACGGCGGGGGAGAGCGCCGAACCGAAGACCCCCGCCCCACAGGGAGGGAAAGTTTGCCGGTTCTTGGCCTTCGAGGGGCAGGACCCCCCAAAGCGATCTTCCCCGGCTTGGACGTTTGGCTGAAGTCAGGGCCGGTTGGGGGGTGAGTTGCCCACACGTTTTTCGGGGGTTCGAATTGGCTCCGGGGTTCTTGGAAACGCGGCGTCGAGGGGTTTTCGCCGGCGAACCCCTAAATCCGACGGGGTCCCCTCCTCG